TTCTACAGTAGAACTTATATAATGGAAAGTTAATGACACAAGATGAATCTATGGCCATGGTTGTTAAGCTGAATTTGAGCTGGCAGTGTACCCTTGACCTAGGGAAGGATACCAAAATACTGGGATGCTCTAGTGAGAGCACAAACAGCAGGTCGAGGGGTGATTGGTTCCCTCTAGTTGTCATTCACAAGTCTGCACATGGAATAGTGCATCCAGTGCAGACTAAATGATTTCCATGTGCCTTCTAACCTAATTTTTTCCATAATTCTGTGAGTGTTCCTACATCAGAGCTACACACTTCCACTCTTGTATTTATACATATGTCTTTAATCAAAAAATAGATAAAAGTTATCTTCATTTGGCCTCAGAGTCAAGGAAAGAATAAGTGGAATTTGCATGGAATTTGAGGACCTATGTTTAAAAATGTAACTCTCTTAAATCATGTCCTTCCTTCTTCAGAGTAAACATTACTCTGGGATTTATAGCTCTATATCTGAGAAGGTACAGTTTTATGTAAGTTTTGGGGGTTTTTCTGGCTTCTGCCCTTTGCCTTATTTCCCCTGTGACCTACAAACCAGGCTCTGAAAGGTTTACTGGCTCATCATATAATAATTAAAAACATTGTTTTACTTTTAAGTAATACAAAGTTATAACTAAAAACCCCTTGCCATGCCTGTCATAAACATGAGCTTAGCTGTCAGATCACTTCCTCAGAAAGGATGAAAACCATCCTCAACTACCTTCCAATTGGAGGAATTTAAATTCATATCCCCCACCCCTTGAAAAGTGTCAAGAGACCACTGGTCACTTAATTTTTTTAGCTCAATAAGCCTTCACTCTCACTTTACATCTTCATGATCAGGGGCTTATATGAAATTTAAGCATCCAATTCTCTTTGCCTCTGGATCTGTGCCAAAAGATGGCTAATAGATAAAATATGGGTTGGTTGGGTTTGCCTGAACATTTCTTTTTCTTTAAACATTATTCTCAGAAAAAGAGTTGCATAACCACAAAACCAGCTAAATTCTTTATCTGAATTTTTCAGTGCCTTGCTCAGATCATTGACAGAATTATTTTGAATATTTGACTGAAAATCCATTCAGGCACTTAAAAAGTGCAGGAGAATGCCTGAATACACATGATAAGACCCTGATTTTTCTCTATGAAGCAGCAAATTAAGATCTTCCAGGGCTAGGAACCATTTATTCAAGGTACCTTCACAAGTTGCAGGGAAACTAGAGGAATACAGAATTTTTTGTCAAAATGTATCAATCACGTATATAAATCTCAAGTATCATATTCAGAGAACAAAGTCAACAATGTGATAAGTAGCTCAAAACTACAACTCTTGTTTTCATTAGCCAGATCACAAAGTTTTGAGTACTGAAAAGTTAACAGTGATTTAAAAAAACCCAAAAAGATGATAACAAAAAATTCAGTTACTTATGTTACTGAATTATGATTAACTTGACAACAGCTCTAATGTAAGACTTTCAAGATTCCAAAAGGATATCTTATACCATAGCATCTTAGAGGCAATGAAAGAAAGACAATCTGAATTTATGGAAGTTTCACTATGAATAATTGTCTCTTGTTGAAAAAAGGCAAACGAGTTAGGAGAGTGAACTTATTTCCTGTAGTATTTCATTAATAAGCCAAGAAGTATTAGGGAAAAGAAAATTTAAAACATTATTTTCTGCCCCAGAAGAAGTTAAATCCTGGACTGCTTCTCTTCAGGATTTCAGTAAGCTTACCAGAGAGGGTCAGTTTTTTATTTTTTTTTTTTTTAACTTACAATACTGACACACATTTTCCAAATTTATCTTTCATGATGTATGTTTTATATATCTTATGCTTTGTTACATATCTGCATCTCTTAAAGGAAACATATTTCCTGGAGAAACAGTGCATGGTACTTGTGGAGAACATGGGTTTAGAAGCTCCTATCAAAATTTCTCCAAAATCTGGGTTTAGAAATGGCTTTCTCCTCATCCTCCTCTCTCACAGATCTACAGAGAATCCTATTAATCTATTAATTCTAACAATCTAATTAAAGCCTATTAATGATCTACCATGAGCATTCAAGATTTGCCATTCCATGTTTTTACAAGACTTTCTTTGTCCAGATATCTCTGTGAAGCTCAAGGATTGACAAGATCCCACATATGTGGCATCTGTTCCAGTTCAGATGGAGGGCACTTCCACAATACTCACTGCTAAAGGACCTGATCCCAAACCCAGCCAAATCCATGAGGATTGCTCTTTTGTCTTTATTAATAGACCACAAATTTGAAAGCTTGAAGTCACTTCTATTGATGTTAAAGAGACACAAAAAAAATTAGTTTAAGTTATTAAAATCTTTTGGTGTAGGTTAAACTTATGGGTTTTTTTGTTTTGTTTGGGTTTTTTTGGTGTTTTGTTGGGGTTTTTTTGTTTGTTTGGTTGGTTGGGTTTTTTTTGGTTTTTTTTTCAAACTGGTAACTTTAAAGCATTTTAATGACTTAACTGAAAACACAGACCTTGACATATGCATCTAAACATGATATGGCATTAGTTAATGCCATGTTTTCTTAGATCAGTGCACTTTAAAATCAGCTATCAAGTTTTTCAGCTTTTAAATATGCAGAGCAACTGGAAAGAAGGAGAAAAAAAAAAAATCACATCTTTCCCAGATAATGTTCAATCCCTGATTAAATAAAGATGTGCCAAGGCAGAGATACTTTATGCCTCAGGAGACAGTCATAGTGGAATTGTGAGTGTATTTTATATGTGAATTAGAGGTAAGATGTAATGACATGAGATGAAAGGCTCAGCCGTGATTTTAATAAAGGGGGGAGACAGTACTTCCCTGTGGACCCCATATGCAAATGAGTGAGACTTGACAAGAATATATGAAAAGATCCAGCAAAAACTACAACAAATGTTTCAAAGTTATGGGGCCACCATTAAAATTCATCACATTTTACCAAAAGCTGAGTATTCCAGTTCCAAGGGGAAGCTTTAACACATTTCTGATAGCTTTAATTTCACATGACAAGCTGTGTCATCAGTAAGCTGGAACAATTTTCAATTTTTAGGTAAGATGGAAATGGAGAGTTTGAAACCATAAAATTTCATTTTTTTTTAAAGGTTTCTGATAACATAATCTAAAAATAATTCCATTAATTTGTTATTTTAAAAGCACGTTTTTTATTGAAATAAAATAACACAGTTTAGTGGTACTATGATGACAGACATTCTAGTTGCTTAATGCTTTTAACAATCCTCAGGAAAAGCTGTTACCTATTGCTCTATTGATATTTTTTATGGTTACAGCAGAATTCTAAAGAATCATTATTTCTTTTTTCCCCATTAAATTAAGGGAAAAGTTTGAGATTTTGCACAGGTATTTTGCTCTTTCTGTGCATTGAAAAAAAAAAAAAAAGAGGAGATGTGCCTTTGTAAGGAACAGACAGGAAAAGAGCAAAATGAATGGGATGAACTGCTTAAAGGAAAAAAAATAATCCTGCTTTATTTGATCTTTTGTGATAATCACACTCCTGGCACCCTGCCAGCAAGGCTGAGCATGCTGATGTCTGGCCAAGTACAGTAATCTCTTGGTTCAAGTCTGAGGTCTGTGATGAAAATTACAAAGCAGGAACAAAAAAAAAAAATCAAAATGCCACCTGTGATTTTATTCTGAAACTAATTTGATGGAAAAAGTAATACAATGCAAACAGTCTTTTTAGTGGAGACTACAAAACCAGGACTAAATTGAAACCAACGCAAGTGGATGGAGGTAGCTATCATGCAAATACATTTGGATCTGCAGGCGTTCCTTTTAAAATGAGCAGTAGATGTCTTTGTGACAGGTAAATTGCTTTGAGATTATGTTTGAAGTCTGAGGTCAAACTTTTAAAATGATAATTTTAACTTACATCTTCCTTTATTCTGGAGTCTTTTTGCATTTGAAAACAGCAAAGCCAGGGGAAAAAAAAAATAACAATTCATTTCCTTAATTTATTTTCTGTGAACCACCATTCATTACAGGTGAACAAATCCTTGAGGAAAACCTTTTCCTTTCTCTTTTCATTCAGTAGTCTATATCTGAGTTAGTTGTCCAGAGATATATGGAGAAGAATTGCATAGCCACAAAATTCTGTATGCACAACATATTCAACTCAGAAAGTCAGCCAGTGAAATCTTCTGCATTATTATTCAAAGTAGAAAAAATCAACCACAAAAAAACATCATGTAGCTTTTGTTTTCCCTCTGTAGTTATTGTGTTTTCCTGAAAGGTTGTAGATCATTAGCAGCATGGATCAAAGGTTGTTTGGATTTTTCTTTACAAATATTGAATTTTTTACAGATTTATTCTTAAAAAAACCCAAAACCAATAAACAATACTACAAAACACATTTTGTTTCCTGTGTGTTACTTTAACAAGTTTGATGAAGCAATACAGGCTACCTATTTTACCACCACCTTCTCTATAAAGCTGGATAGTATCTTGCCATTTTTATGCACACCTGCAACTCCTCTCTGCACCAGTAACAATTGCCACACACAGGCACCAGGACAATACCTGGTGTCTAGGGCCTCACCAAACACTTCATTTCAGCATTTCACAGTTGCTGCTATTTTGCTCCTTCTTCAGGAAGGTTCTCTATAGATTTCCAATTCCCTTTGATGTTCAGGTCTGTTCCTGCACTATCTTCACTCCACCAAAAATGCTAATCAAAGGAATACTTTAATAGTCACCTTAACCTTTTCATACTTATATTTTCATGCTACTCCTTTTCTATAATTTCCTTTGCAATCAATAAAGTAACTGACTGTAGCATAAACAATACAGTTGAATTATTAAATCCTGTGTGTTACATATGTAGATTTGCTCATAAATTTCTCAGCTACACACACACACACACATTAACACACCAAGAGAGAACTTCAGGTATACTCCTGCACACATCATGACTCATAGAAACATGAACACTTATGTTTAAACAAGAGGTACCTACCTGGAATGAGCTGGCCCAGTAACTGATGGCATCTGGAAAGGCTGAGTACAGCTACTATGACCAAAAAAGGATAATGTTTCCATTTCATGATGTGTCCTTCCTCGCATTACACCAGCTCGGCAGCGCTAACGTAAATGTCACCTGCAACACACAATGGAAATAAGAACAGAGGAATTAATGATGAATTTAAGGTACTTCCAAATATTTTTGCCCAGTGTAACTCTATGAAGTATGCTGGTTTCAATACAGTTTTAGCTATTGAAACGTTAAATTATCAAGCACTCAAGCAGTTGTAAACCACAACCAGAATATTAACTATCCTTGCAGAGTAGACAACCCCAAAAAAGATGTTTTAAAGGGAGACATGAGGAGCCCCATAGTGCACATGTGTATTTTAAAGTGCTGTATGTTGTTTGGTTAAGCTACTAAAGAAATTGCTTCACTTCAGCAAGATAATTAAGTGCACATTTAATTCATCTCAGTGCAAGGAAATAATTAAACCCTTGCATAAGCTGAAAACACTTTAATGCTATTCAGTTTTACTATGAAAGCAGGGTTAAAACTTTCTTCCAGTCTCCTTATGACATGATGTTTTGCTGAATAAAGTATTAGGGATAATTTTACCCATTAATAACTTTAATAGTTAAGACAACTTTCTGATGAGTTTCTGTGTTCTTAAAGGCCAAAAACGTACATCTAACTGACAGGAAAATGAAATCTTATGAAGACAATATTGTGAATCAAAAAAAAATTATCAAAAAACAAAACACTTTTAATCAAAATATGACTTTTAAACTCATTTTTCTGACCACCACACGTGCAGGTTAACACGCATTCGTGACTCCACCAGTGCTGAAAAGTTATCTCTGCTCATGCTGGTTTTTTTGTCACACTTCAGCTACATTAATACTCAGTATGGACTTTGCCAGAGATCACAGAGTCACAGAATTGTTAGGGTTGGAAGGGACCTCTGGAGATCATCTAGTCCAACCCCACTGGAAAGGCAGGGTCACCTGGAGCAGGTGACACAGGAATACATCCAGGTGGGTTTTGAATGCATCCAGAGAGGGAGACCCCACAGCCTCCCTGTTCCTCAGACCTTGTTCACAGCACAGCAGCCTGTTCAAAATGCCTTTCCTTTACAGGTTTTTAAGAAACATATGGTGTATTTTAGGTGATTGTGGGTTTCTAAAAACAACAAGACCTTTTTTAGACAATCCAATTAATACACATGATCTGTAAATCACATGTATTGTTTTGTTTTGGGTAGTTTATTTGGGGGGAGGTGGTCAGAGTGGTTTTTTGGTTGTTTTTTTTTTTAGAGGGTCTTTATCTCATTACAACCCAAAGTGCATGTGAATGTAATGTTCCATGTATTGCATGGGATTTGGGGTTCATATCAAGATCCTGGGGACAAAAGAGATGCTATTCTAAGTGCCTGTCAAGTTATGAGATGTGCACAACTGCCTGACCCTAATCAACAACTGGAAACTATGGGATGCTTGCTGACAGATCAAACTCTACTCCAGCAATAAGTAACTATATCAGACCTTAATAACATTACAACTGCACTTCTTAGATTCTCTCTCCTTGTACTTTTTCCTCTTGCAGTTAAGAACATATACTCAGAGATAACCAGTTTGGATTCTGACTCCTATATTACTAAATGCCAGCAGACAGAATCAGAACAGTGAAGAAAACTGTAGTGCCACTAGTCACTTGTTCAATCTGCTGAGACAGAGAGTTTTCAGATGTAAACCTAATACATATTTAATAAGTACAGATAGAAGACTTGTGTCTTGCATTCAGTGTCACATGACACTTTCAAATGTTCAAAACTGCATAAATAAGTTAAATATGAATAGATTCAATCCCCTACACGTGCTGCATTTTATATTTGCTTCTTGTGTTATACCTGTGCTTCTATTATCTTAACAACCTGAAATTACAATACTCCGTTTCCTTCTACTCTTACCTGAATCCCACAAAATATTCTTTTTTTTTTCTCATTTCATCTGTACTGCACACAAAACCCCCAAGTTCCTCCCACTCCCATGCTTTTAATTTCCCCCATCACTTGTGTGGTTGCTCTTGTGTTGCAAAAAGCTTGACAGCTCTTAATGGCAAAGTTAATGGCAATTAATGGCCAAGGTGTTACACGCTGCTCCAAACTATTCATGATGTGACTCCAAGAATGAAATGAGGATTTGCAAGCTCAGGCCTTTGGGAGATCAGTCTCTTTCTCTGTACAGTAATACAACATTTATAAACATGTAATAAAACTATTTACTACTTTGGCTTCACACTCCCATGGTTTCTTCATCTTTGCTTTCTGCTGCAAATACAAGATTGAATATTGTTTCTAATGCCAAGCTGAGGAGGCAGCCCTTTGATTTGGCTTCACTAAACAAAAAACCAAAATATGACAAAAAAATAACATTTTTACTTAAGGTTTAACTTTGTCGCTACAATAGGAGGAGAAGGAACACTGAGATAAAAGAAAGAGGAGGGATAAGAGTTGCTCCAGGTGCCAAAAAAGGATATCCTGCATCCCGTGGAGAGTACCACACTGGAGCAGGTGTCCACACCACAGCCCAGAGAGGAGCAGATTTATCCTGAAGGATTGCAACCCATGGGGAGCAGGGAAGGAGGAAGGAGGAGAGACATAGAGGAGCTGTTATGGACCAACCACAACCTCCCATTCCCCATCCCCCTGCACCACTGCAGCACTCCAGTGAAAGGTAGGGGAGCAGAGGTAGAAGAGTTGAGGATGAAGGGATGGAGTTGAGCCTCGAAAAAAACAGGGGGGTTGTGTGTGTGTGTGTGTGTGTGCGTGTGGAGAGTTTTAATTTTTATCTTTTTTTGTGCCATCCAACTCTATTTAAATCAGAAATAAATTTTGCTCTTTAGCCAAGGGTAATGCACCCCAATCATAAAGTTGCAAGGGAGAGTTGAATTCCAGCAACATACTTTATGACACTCACGCTCTCTGTGAAGGCATCCCAGGCATGAATCCAACATTTTGTCTTTCCATGCCTCTCTCTTCCATTTACGTAATCAGTAGACTATGACTTCTTTTTAATCTCTTTGTATGTGATAAAGCTCCCTGTGGAGCTCAGATCATGACTGCTTGGTGGTTTTGTTAAAACCTTTTCTGCCCTCTAATTCTGCTTGTGGCTTATGTTTGAAATATAATAATTCTAAAACCTGAAATTATTCCAGTGTTATTAAAAGTATTATTCTTACAGAAAATTTCAGTGAAGATGGTTTTAATTAAGCCAGATAATTTTAATATGAAAACAAATCTTTTCAATCTACAATTTAAAAACAATTCCTGTAGATATGCCTTGAAAACAATAATCCATAGGATGTTAATCCTCTATATTTGGGGTATAGTGCTTCTGAAAGAGTAGCACTGATCACAGGAAAGATAAAGCAGAAAGAGATGTCATCAGAATGGAAAATGGTTTTCAGACAGAAGTGGAGATCAACAAAAGAGAAACAAAATCTTCCTTATCATCACCTACTGCCACTGCACCACAATTCTGGTACCACATTGCAATGGAGGACACCCACAGAAATCTATCACAACCAAAGGGATTGGGCTGGGAATTCAAAACATCCTTTCCCTTAGTACATGCTAAAAGCCTGTGAAATACCTGCCCCACGCATTTAGAACTTCTATTCATATACAAATTTCTCCAGTGTCATGAGCTTTACCTTTTTTGATTACAATAACTGAGCCCATGGTTTGTGTTTGGCCCTTCTCTGCAATTATTCTTTCAGTGTCTGACCTACAAAACTAATATTGCAGCATAAGGACTGGCACTAATTAGATGTTGCCAGTGACAGAAGAAGGATGCACTCACCATACACTCTTCAGCTGGCCTGAGACCTCACTTAACTCCAAGTCAAATGACCACAGACCTACACCAGAACGAGCAAGGAAAGGTTCAGGTCTGGCATGTTATCCAGAGTGCACAATGAAGACAAACACTGCCTTCTCTATGACATTATAATCATTAAAGAATCAATGGGAAATTAAACTGCACAAACCCAGAGGGGAAAGAAGCACTATGGTAAATGAAGGGAAAGGGTCTAATCAATTATTTTCTTCCACTTTTAAAGTATAGTGCTATTTATTACTACAGCCAGTGCAAAAGCAAAGACACTGAGACAAGACCAAAACCAGTGCTGGTTTTATTTTCATCTCTTTTTCTTTTTGAATTTGATAATTATTGATGTTTCTCTTAGAAACAGTAACCAGCTTCCTAAGACTAGATTTTGACAGTGCATTGAGTAGAAAAAAAGGACACAAAAGTCAGGTAATTAAGTTTATAACTTGGAAAAATAACTTCCTTTTACAATATCTATGCACTTTGATAAACATTATGCTAAAAAAGATTGTTTAGCTAAAAGAGTAGACAGAATTTTTATTTGCCATGTACCCAAAGGCCATTTTGGAATGAACTGGCAAAATTTCACTGAAAAGAGAAAAAAAAAAAAAGAAAATGTTCCTTTTGAAGCAATGTTAACTAATTTGGAAAGCAGAGTTTTTAAAAGCTTTGTTAGGCCTATTGATAGTGGATGGGCCTTCCTATGCTTTCCATCCTTTCAGTCCTTCTGTCTACTAGCAGGACAGCCAGTTATCTGGTCATCTCTTTAGATTGACACTACTTCTGAACTTACTCCTCCTATGCATTAATTTCACTGAAATTAAGAACTTCCCTCTACTATTTTAAACATCCAGTCTTTGTTAAACTAAATTTATTTGGAGTTCCAGGAGGATGGGAAGGAAGCACTGCCATACATTGTCTCAACAGTTTCCATTTAGGAGCAAAAAATGACAGGGGTTTGATGAACTAGGGGAAAAGAAGTCTGGCTAGCTCCTCTTCTGTTATAAAGTAAATCAATTCTACTAAGATCAAAGCAGCTTAAAAATTATAAATCTATTTAAACAGAGTAGTTATCAGTATAGTACATCTATGGATCTGGACTGTAATCTTTTCAGTGACAGAATGTTTTAGCAGACATTCATGAAGCTCACCTTATTTAATCTTTTAGTATTCCCAGACAGTTGCTTTTTTAACACCAACTGTTAGGTCAGTTTTAATAATTATGATGCAAGATTTACGCTTTAC